AGAGTTAAAAGCACTGACATTAATATACACACCATTACACTCCAGGGTTAAGAGCTCATTGAGATGAAAAGGGCAGTTTGTGGCACTAAATGTCTCCTTTTAGTGCTCACAGGCTCCAGGCAGGCATTAATTAATCTCCTTTTACTTCTCTTTCCCCTCAGCTGGAAAACATGACTTACCATCTCAAGTCATGGTTCAATATGTCTTCACAGGTGACTAAGCCCTCTTTCAGCAAATGCTTTTAATCTGCTTTGTAGCCCTGCTATCGGCTCCTTCAGCATCACAAAGAATGCAGAGGAATAGTTCATAGCTAGAGCACCAAAACCCAAACCATTTACCATCTTCATGCTAACAGAGGCAGCCCCAGTTCTCTTCCAAACTCTATCTCCCATCCATACTCTGCAAAGCATCCTTCTCTTGCCTACTGGTCTTTTATCCAGAGCAGGGTCCTCAGCTTGTTATTGGGCTAAGTGGTGCAAGCTGGGTCCCAAATGATAAAAGGCAGCAAAATGGAACCTCTGTATTGTTAAGGTAGCCCCTTCTAATGTTGGGTTGGCTGGAGGTGCTGCAGGTATGGCTGCTGCAGGAGCTTTCATGTGTCTCAACAGCTTTTCTAGGGATCTGCTAGATACTTCTCTTAAGATCTTGCTGCCAAAATGGGGTCCTCAGCCAGGTGTAGCAGATGAGTTATGCATACATGTAAAAGGGGAAAAAGAAAACGCCATCTTTTACAGCCTAGCTAAGATTTCCTGGGGTGAAATGAGCATAAAGGGCCCAAATCCTACTTGGCTGTTAAGGAAAATAAAAATTTGTGCCATTTGATTCAAGCTGATGGGCTCTCCTTACCCTGTTGTACCAGGCTAGCGTGGGAGGAAAAGGTGTATTTATAAACACAAGCTCACAAATAATATGCAAAACTGCATTAGCATATAAAAATGTGTGTGTGTGTATATATATACATATATATATATAAAAATATGTATGTAAAAATGCAAACTTGTGTGCAGATAATTAGCACCAAGGCTCGTCCCACAGCCTGGCTGCAAGGTCCCAGGGAGCTTAGTCCTTGTGCTAGCTCAGTCCCAAGCACGCTTAGCCTTGAAGGCTCAAGGGCAATCCAGGAGAGTCCACCATGGTCCCAGAAGGTGAAATCGGGGCGGAGATTCTTTTCCTTGGATGTGAGGGATCTGGGTTGCTGTCACTCTGGAGATGCTCCAGTCCCTGGGAGGCTGTTGTGCAAAGGAGCCCAGGAGGTACTGGGGGAGGTACCCACGAACAATACAATTGCCCAACTTTTCTTTCCTTGGAAAAAGGGGCTGCGACACCCCTGGCTTTCTAATCTCTACCTCTGTTCCCTTTCCAAAAAAAAAATTGCATAAAATAAGATAATCTTGCCTATTTCTGCAGCCAGACACCATCGTGCTCATTACTAAGAAATGTCCCTAAAACATTTTAGCTTCCAATTGTTAATTTCCACCCTGTCATTGTTTTTCCTGAGTCTGATAACAGCAGCTGAGGGGAGCCAGCTGCATTTTCTATCTGTCTTCTCTACCAGGATTAATCCAGCTGGGTGCAACTCTTGATGCATCCTTTCCTCCCTGCATTTAAGCAGGGAAAATTACAACTGAAAGCTGTATTCTGTTCCTGCAGCAGCCTGCTTGCACAAAACGAGTGCGAAATGTCAAATTTGGAGACCTTAGCTCCTGCATTGAATCTAATTGAGGTTACCCAATTAAGGTCAAAATGTGATAGAGGGAACTAAGAGTAAGACAGCTTTCTCTGGGAGGTGGGAGAGACAAAAGGGGTGAGGAAAAACCACATCTTTCACTCTCATGGAAGTATTTAAAGTCTTGTGTTTCTATGTGTGTGTGCTTGCAGGGAGCAGCTTTCTCAGCAGCAGCTGAAGCCATCCCAGATAAAACAGCAAAACTGAGTCAACTGGATATTTGCCTCCCCAGGGATCTGTGTGGGATGCTCCAGACTGGGCTTTTTGAAAGCTTGCTCCTAAAAAAATCTCCTTTTATCTATGTGCAACAGCTGCCCTTTTTGCCCAGCTTTCAGGGACTTCAGCTTTGTGCATGAAAGCTGTTACTCTGACTGCAGGTTTGGGGGTATGAGCAGCTCTTGTCATCCCTTTAACTTCAAATTTTGAAGGAGATTTTGTAGCGTTATGGCTCTGATTTGAAACATTCAGGTGGGCTTGTGCCCTTACTTTGCTTGGCAGCAAGCATCCCAGCTCAGCATCCTTGGGGTTGGGTGAGAGTAGAAAGGCTGGGTCCTGCGGGCAGGTCTATTTTTTATTAAATCTGGTGATTTTGAGTCACAGCTGGAGCTGCCTTTGAGAGTCATGTCCCAGCATAGTGAATAGGGCGGCTTGAATGGGGCTTGATTCCCCCTACGCCTGCAACAGCTTTGTCCTGGGAGGCAGCACAAGCAAAGGGCTAATGAGGCTTTGCCTAGTTAGCATCTCCACTGTGCTCCTGTGCCCTTCCCCCTGTCAAATTCATGCTCCTTTTGCTGGCTTATGAAGCCATCCCTTGGCCTGGCTGCATCTGCAAGGGATGGTGGACCACGAGCAGAGTTTCAAGCCAGCATCCATCCCTGCGCAGGGAAGCAGCTCAGCATCACTCTGGGGTGGTGCTCACCCTCACCTCCAGCAGGGAAAATGTCCCTCTCACCTGCGATCTCATTCTCTTCCAGGTCAATGGTCTCCAGGGTGGTGACAGCAGCCAGGGGCTCAGGGAAGTGCCGAAATCTGTTGCGGGAGAGGTTGATGGCCCGGAGGTGCAGCAGGGAGGTGAGCTCCTCAGGCAGGCGGTGCAGGTAGTTGCCTGCTAGGTTGAGTTCTGTGGTTTGGGCAAGAGAGGAAAGAGGTGGTGGGATGGGGAGGGGGGAAAAATGGGAAAAATAATTAATGCATAGCTTAATTTATAGCCTCTGACTCCCGTGGGCTGCCAGGTCCAGCAATGGGATTCCAACTCCAAAAATGGGATTTTTTTTTGCTTCTCTCATGGTCTGCTATCGTACTTTTGCCTGCTGTGACCATTGCTTTTAGGAGCAATATATTTCTTGGCTTCCTTGGGCTTTCCTAATGAAATCCACGCAGCATTTCACAAGCAGAGGCTGTAGAAATGAGCAATATGAAGTCAGTTCAATTCCTCCCCTGATGGATGTTTGTCATGCCTTAAGGTTAGTTTTCTATCCTCACATGCCTGAACGCCTTCTGAGGTGTAAACAGAGTGGTGGAAGAAATGTATTGTTATGCAAAAATATTTATTCCACTGAGTTTAAGTCTCTTTATTTCCCCCCAGCCCCCAGAAATGAGCTCTTATGAAGCTGAGAGCAGCATTCCTGGATGAACTGCCATTATCCATAAGGACAGACACCCCAAATCCCCCTGTCCCACTGCCCTTCTCCAGTGACACAGGGCTTTCTGCTCTATAAATACCCACACAAGCTGGCCTGCCCCTGCTGATACTGGGTATTTATAGGTCCTGCCTTACTCAGGCTGGTGCAAGGCTGTCTCCAGCCCCGGGGCATCTCTCCCTGGCATCAGCCCTGCTGAGGCCCAGCACATTCATCACTGGAGTGACTTGTTCCCTAGTTGAGTGAAACCCTTGCTGAGAAACTTCCTCTCCTGCCTCAGGGCTTGCTGTGCTGGCTAGAAAACAAAAATTGATTTTCTTTGCTCAATGTGTTTCTTTTCTCCAGGCTAGGGGAGTTTTCACGGATGATGCTCCAGTACCGCACAGGAAGCTTCCCCAGACACCTACCATGGCAGCACTCATGCAGTACATTGTATGAGCAAAATGTTTGCTTTTAAAAACTGCTGGAGCCCCAGGTGCTGCTGAAGGCAGGCAAAACCCCAGTGTACTCCTTGGGGTTCAAAACCATGGCATGGGATGCTCCGGATGCTTGCATGACCATGTTTTAGCAGATTAGCATCTGGCTGCTTTCGCTGGGCTCTGCAGGGATGTGTCCCCATGGCACCGGCCGTGCACTGTCCCCATCTCCTGCAGTGAGCGGAGGAGTGAGCAGCAATCAGTGGTGTCTTGTGATGGCTAATTAGGCAGCAGTGAGCTAGCATGCCTTCTGCTGCTTGAAATGTCCCATCTCTACCATGCACCGCTATGCCCAGGCTGCCTTTCCTGTCCTCTTTCATCCCCGGCCCCATCCTTGGAGGGAGCTGGAGGATGATGAATGACCCCACAGCAGCCTGGCTGCTGCTGAAAGCGGCAGGGCGTGAGTTTGGGAGGGTGGGTAAGAGTAAAATCAGTGCCCTCTTCCTGCAAGGTCTGGAAAGGGTAAAGAAAAATGGATTTTTTGGAGGCTGAACTAGTGCTTGGGATGAGGTGTGAGTGCAGAGGAGCAAAAACTGCAGTGGGGAAGTTCTCTGGTGCTGTCCGCCTCCCCTTCTGCAGCAGCCTGAGGGCCCTTTGCAGGGTCCCAGGGGTTTGAAAGTGGCTGTTGCAAAGCGACAGGTCTGTCCCTTACCTCTCAGCTGGCTGAAGGTGGTGACAAATCGGCTGGTGAGTGACTTCAGCTCGTTGTTCGCTAGGGAGATGCAGTGGATCCCCTCGGTGACACTCCTCATGGCTTTGTAGATGCCAACGGGGAAGGTCATCAGCTTGCAGTTGGCCAGATCTGCCCCCGGAGAGACCCAGGCACCTTATAACACACCCCAGGTGGGCTGGAGCAATGCTCACCATCTTGTTTTCCACCCTTAATGCTCAGTTTCCCTGTCTGGGTGCTGCCACCCATGGATGCTGTGATATCCCCTGCTGCACTCCTCTCCATTGCAGGGATCTTCGCAATCGCTTCCACAGACACCATGAGTCTGTTGCCATCAAAGCTGTTCTGCCTTAGGTGTGTTAAACCCCAAATCTCATCACATCTACCTCCATGCTGCAATGTCCTTCTGCAAGCCCTCAGCCAGCCTGTCTGTGTCGAATAACTTCACAACTTCAGTAATCCTCCCCCCTCCCCCAGCTCCGTCCTTAATGCCCCTGGGAAGGTCAAGCATCGCAGGGATGCCTCATCCATTGCTGATGGGTATTGACTGGAGCAGGGCTTTGCCTGGGCTTGTTCCTGGCTGGCTTTCTCATGGTGATGGGTGAAAGCAGCAGGGAGGGGGAAAGGATACGGCATTTTTGTTTTGTTCTGAATTGGTTCTGCTTCCCCTCCTGGGACATGCCATGGGATGGAAACCCTGCATCCCAGCCCTGTGATGCTCAGCCTGGGCTCTGCTCCCTGCCCCCTCCCCTGAGCCATGGTGGGAGCTACACAAGCTCTGTCCTCCCCTGCTTATCGTCTCACTCCAGAGGATGTCTGAGCAATGAAGCTCTGACTCTCAGTGTATGCTGGTTTATACCCCAGGGCCGGGAATCCAACGTGAATAAAAATGAACAGCTTTCATCTCTCTCTTTTGATGAACTGCGTGTGGGTTTTGGATATTAGCTAGAAGTTAGGAAATTGCAGAAAAACACAAATCTGACAAGGTGACGTGGGGAGAGGTCTGGCTCCTGCAAGCTCCTCGCTTGCAAGGAAGGACATTATCCCTGGGGCATGTCCCATGGGGTTATGTCCCATTGCTGGGAAGCCACTCAAACTTCGGGGAGGGGGACTGACAGCCCTTTGGGGGAGCCTTTCTCTTCTGTGGGGGTGCGGGAGCATCAGGCATAGCGCCCAGCGTGAGAGAGCAACAGCTTTTTTTAGACCACGACAGCAAAAAACAGAGCCCTGTTCCTGGATACCTGATCCTTCTCCGGGCCCCAAGCAGGAGCCGAGCCGGGCTTACCCAGGGAGTCCGTTTTGTTCTCCACCGTGTCGTTCACCTTCCTGGCCACCCGGGCCACCGCCTCGCCCATCCTCTTCTGCATGCGGGCACCCGGTCCCGCCGGGAGCGTGTTTCGGCTTGGGGAATCCACGGCTGGAGGGAAAACCCAGCCGCTCTCGGGAGAGGGGTGCTAAAAATAACCGGCAGGATCAGCGTTCCCAGCGGAGAGGGGGAGGGAGGTTGTGCTGGGGCTGGCATGACCCTCGGGGTATGAGATTCCCAGCTTTCCAGGCTTGTGTGTTTGGGATATAAGAGTGCATCCCCTTTCATGGTTTGGGATGTGGGGATGCATCCCCTTTCCCTGAAATCTGGGGATCGTGTAGCCCTTGGGGTGTGGGAGTCCCAACTTTCTGTGTTGGTACATGTGGGATAGGGAGAAGCTGCTTCTTTCCTGGGAACTTTGATCAGCTCGTGCTCTTTCCTCATGACTCGAATGAGCTCGGCTCAGCCAAAACGCTTTGGCAGAGGGAGCCCTGGACACTTGCGAGCCGTCTAAACAGAAGACTGG